GCCACATGTTTGATCATTTCTTATGACAACAACACCCCTATTGAGTCTCTCAAATGATGCAAACCAATCTCGCCTAGGAGTCACATGATAAGTAGCGTCAGAATCAAGCAATCCAATCTGATATATCCACATGGTTCACCTCTGGAGTAATCAATAGAGAAAAGCTTGAATCATCAGAATCATTGCCTTTCGCAACATTCACCTCATTTGGCATTCGGGCCCTTCTTCTTGCTATTCCCCTTCTCCTTGAGCTTTGGACAATCTCTCTTCCAATGTCCATGTTCCTTACAAAACGTGCACTGGCTCTTAGCTAACTGGTGATGACCTCTAGATTTTAACCTGCTCCTATTACCACCTCTAGGATATAGGCTTCTACCTCTCGTCGTCAAGGCCTCTCCTGAAGTACTAGCACGGGAAGTCTCATTGTCCTTCCTCCTCAAATCATAGTTCGTCAAAGCATTAGTAACTTCATTATATGTGATAGAAGATCTCTCGTTCAATAAGGTAAGTACAAAGGTATCATACTCCTCATTCGATAAGGAGCCCAAAAGAATAATAGTCTTGTACTCATCTGTGATCTTCTCATCCACGTTCGCCAAGTCTGACAGCAACTTCGTATAGTTGTTCACATGAACTGCAAGCGAGGTGCCCCTGAACATCTGAAATCTAAACAATCTTTGTAGCAAGTGCAAACGGTTATCAACACTCTTCGTAAGTATTTATTGTTGAGAATCTCCCACATCTTCATTGCAGACGTCACCCCAATCACATCATACTTCAACTCCTATTTATACAAACATGACCTGATCACCCCACAAGCGTTATTATTTATCTTTTCCCATACCGCCTCTTCATATTTTGGTGGCCTCTCATGGACCATGATAGTCTCCTCCAAATTCTAAGCATTGAGCGCATCCTGTACGTCACTCATCCACAAACCAAAATTGATCTTTCCGTCATATTTAACCATACTAATCTTGGTGTTCTGAAAACCAACATGAACTGTACCCACCATCTTGTTGCTTTCACTAACTTCTTCACCCATACTTATAGACTCCAATTGCAAAGTAAGATTCAAACTTTGATAGAATTAAGAAGTTACCTAACTAAACCCTAGACTGGATTCTAAATAGATCTCCTAACCACACGATGGAAGTAAAATCTTCAACGGCAACTCCACAATGCTATCTCCACCGAAGCCTAGAATTCCAAAAACTAAGCTTCCACTATGATTCTTCCTCCTCCCAATGCCAAAACCCTAGATCTGAAACCCTAGTGCTCTAATACCAAATTGTTGCGCGCCTTTGCGGAAGCGTGCTCGCACACCAAACGAGTCCGTAAGCCACGGGAGAAGATTAACAAACAAACACGAGCACAATCCAAACAAATACGATAAACCAATCGTAAACATAGAGATATACGTGGTTCGGCAATTTGCCTACGTCAATGGGGAGAGGATAGGGAGATTTCACTATATTGAGGAGAGTACAAAAGGGTTACAATCACTCAAACACTCGAACAAATCCTAACCAATGATCTCTCAACTCGCTCACAAGTTCTTTCTCTCAAAGTGCTCAGAATACTCTCTATTCTCTGATAAACAAAAACCTAAAATCGTGTTTCTATTTATATTAAACAGCAAACCCAAACAGAACAGGAAACTAAAACCAGGCCCAAACCCGACGCGCGGTCAACCACGGAAGTCTTCGCGGTCGACCGGACAGAACAGAAAAATCACCTTTGAGTTTATAGGGTTTCGCGGTCGACTGCCAAAGTTTTCACGGTCGACCGGACAAGATCCAGAAACTACCATGTACTTGTGCACATTTCCGGTCAACCGTACCCTTGATCGCGTTCGACCGGATAGAAACAAAACCTGTCCGACTGTAATTTCCTGAAAATTGTTGTTTCTCATCAATACTTGGTTACTAGCACGTATGAAAGAAAGTTAAATACTAAGGAGTCAATATGGCGGCTTTGTTTATTTCATTTTCCGAAATATAGAAAACCATTTCAAGTACTGAAAAATCTATTTTCACATCTTTCCATGTATTTCTAGGAAAATATTTTTTATTACTTATTTTAGCATGAGAACATGGAGAGGAAATGTTTTCCATTCGATCCTCTTGTTTGGTTCAAAAGGCAAAAAAAAAATTGAGTTGGAAACCTATTGCTAATTATTTAACGATTATATTTTATCAATTTTCCACCTTCATTCCATTATTTAATTATTAAAACCTACCTTTCCACTCAATTTTAGCCTATTTCCCCATATTCTGAGAGGACACGATTTCCACCTAGAAAGTATATATTGTTTTCCCATGCCTTCAAGAAAAGCTTTCTTAAAACTTTTTTCTTAAACAAATAAAAGAATGAAAATATTGCAGAAAATCTTTCGGCTTTTCTAACATCGTCAGAAGGTTTTTAAGTGTTTCCACTCGAAACAAACATACATTAAAAGAAACATATGAAGAAAAGAAGTGTTAACTAAACTCAAAAATTCATAATTTTTTTCTTTCATTCTCTTCAGTTTACTTGAATATAAGTTAACTGCATTTGTAGATATCATTTCAAAGAGAATAAGACAAGCTGAAACTTATTACACGTTAACGTAAGCTAGAACTTTTTCTTCGATATTTTCAGAGAGAGACAATATGTAGCCTCAACAGTAAGATTTGGTTCTTCTAGGATTGTCCATTCAATATGGCTAAATTTTTTAAGCAATCAAGAGCCGTATTTATCCATTTGTTCTTTTGGTATTAACTTAAAGTTACTTAATTATATTACATGTACGAGACCAGGCTAGCTGCACATGAGATGATGAATAATTAATTCCTTAGGTCACAAGTTACGGGTTGTGCAGTTCTGAGATACAAGTAAAGTTGTTCACATTTTAGATCTCCTTATAAACACTAGTACAAAACTGATCTGTCCAAACGGTTGTAACCGTTTGGACAAATGCAGTCCCAAACGGTTACAACCGTTTGGGCGAGTAAAAAACCCGTTTGGGCTGAAGCCGTTGGGGAAGAGTTTTCCCCAACGGTCTCCCAAACGGTTGTAACCGTTTGGGCAAAATCCCAAACGGTTGTAACCGTTTGGGATTTTGCCCAAACGGTTACAACCGTTTGGGTTTGGGCTGAAGCCGTTGGGGAAGAGTTTTCCCCAACGGTCTCCCAAACGGTTACAACCGTTTGGGTTGTCAAAAATGCCCAAACGGGTGAAACCGTTTGGACAGAGTTTTGTCCAAACGGTTTCAACCGTTTGGACAAAACTCTGTCCAAACGGTTTCACCCGTTCGGAACGTTTATTTTTATCATTTTTTAATTTTAGCTATTTTAAATATCTACCTACTTATATTTAATATGCACATCTCACACAATAATTTCTCAATATATCACATTGAAATCAAAAATATATACATACACCAAAATATCTCAACAGTGCTAAATATCCAATATTATATATACATACACAATGAAAAGCATCCAATATTATATATATGTTTCTAATATCCAAAATGACTCATACATCCAAAATATAATATAGGAGTGGCTTGATCCATCCAGTCAAGGAACATTTTCAACACTTGAACTTTCACCCTCCACCTTCAATTCAACTTGGACCTCAGGAGCTGCACTTGCATCACCTTCAGCCTGCACATTCGACGCAATCTCGGGTTTGGAAGGAGCAGAAGCCTCTACAGTTGGAGAACTCTGATGCTCAGAAATAAATGCAGCCTCTACAATACTTGCAGGCTTGAACTTGCCGATATAGTAACTGAGTGGAGGTCCAGAGTACTCTGTACTCTGAACTTGAGGTGCTTTTTTGTCGACTTGGAGAAGAATTGCTCATGCTGCAGCGACTGATATTAGAGCTAAACCAGCGGCGAATCGGCGATGGCTGCAGTGTTCTCTGCTCCTAATGATGATGTGCCTGCTGATCCAGAACTTATCGCACTTTCCGCAACATAGACTGCTGGCTGGCTACGAGGGGGGGGGGGGGGGGGGCAAGGAGATTTATGTGCACTAAAAGAATATTAATACACTGCTAAGAAGAAATCCTCCAAAAATTTTTCAGACTATGGAAAGAAGGATCTTAAACTATGTTTATCAATAGTCCTGACAGATTCTGATCCTCCTCTGGCAATTTCATTTCTTATTTACGATATTGTGCTTCATTATAAATCTAAGCAGGTAATCCTACCCCCAATGATTTGTGCTAATTTATGCTTTCGCCTCACATAATCACGACTAATCAACTAAATAACCTCAGGTTGTGATTAGGAAGATGCTTCATGCTTCAGTCGAAAACATAGAGATGTCATTCAAGACTGTAATTATGAATGCTATGATAGACACTGAAATATATTTCCATGAATCCAATGTAAGTTATTTCACAAATTTGCGCATAAAAATGTTTTTGCGAATAACAAACGCTCACAAATTTGCCAAAATGCATTATTTGCCGCTCAACAGTTGGCAGCGGCCACCATCATCAATGCCCCCTGAGGATTTAAGAATTCTGTAAAGGGTAGGGGAACAAATACTTCTGTAAAACAAGAAAAGGCATAACGTTAAAAGAAAAAATTACCGTGGAAAAAACAAGGTATCAGTGGAATAACTATATAACGCCTAAAGCACTTCTTTTCCCTTCTCTGCGCGTGATACGCCTATATAGGCTTCTTAAAATGCGGTTCTTATATATCATCTCCTGATAAGACCTGATATAAAAAAATTGGATTCTGGCAAAAGCAGCCAGTGATAAATTCAAACAGTTAGAGCACAAGCGTTAAAAAAATAATGTCATTCCTTAATAGCATGGCTGCACTCAAGAAACCACAAGCAATTAATTTAACATTAAAAATAATGTGGCACCGGGTAATAATAAAAAAAGGCAAACAATCAATGTATATTAAAGTGAAACAAAGGTGATTTGTACAGATTGAAACCTAGGTCCTTACTCCAAAATGGAAAGACGTGTAATGTATAATCATTGTTTGTAAGTGAAACAAAGGAATTGTACAGATTGAATACCTAGCCTTACTCCAAAATGGAAAGACGTGAATGTATAACATATGTTTGTAAGTTCAAAAACTTTATACTACTTAACCCAAAGCATGTGTAAATACCAACATGGTCGGTATACAAAACATGACTGATTCTAAGTTAAAAAAGTAGCACAGACAAGGTTATAAAACTAACAATTATAATCAATACAGCATACAGACAAAATATCAAGAACTTAATGCTTGTGGTTTTCTCCTTGTGTATTCGAAGATAAATAACTTTTCAAGAGATAAAAAGAAAGTGCAAATATTATCAACATAAAATTAAAATATTTATATAGCTAGATTCAGGTTTAAACAGGAAATAAGCTAAAAAGGAAATCAAATAATTATTTGAAGCTGTGAAAGAAAATAGTTTTTCAAAAAAGCAGCTCACATGGGTCAATAACTTACCTGAACATACTTCATAAGTGATGTTGTCTTCCTTAACATTAAGCATACAACCACCTAGAGTAACAAAATTGTAGACTATTATTTAGAAGTTTAAACAACGTAATCTTTTAAACAAAATATGGAAATTTCATGTCACCTTGCTGAAGTATCCAGACAATAAGGAATTGTGTGTATGGTTTGGTTCAAGAAAGGAGAATAGCAGATCCATCAGCTGCCAAAGTGAAACAATAGTTAGTGGGGTAGCTAGAAAGTGATATATTCTGTAGAACAGATCAAATAATTATTAGCAGAGGATTTGCAAGAACAATTGTCAATCAGCTACCTCTTCGTCCTCTACTAATGTCTTCAAAATAACATCAATCTCACAAGTGAAAATTTCACAAGCAATGAAAGGGAACCTGGTTCACAAAATAACTTAGAATCGGGGATCTGGTCACCGTAGAATTAACCTAGAATTTTACCAATCCACCAAATCCAGCAAATTAACCTAGAATTCAAACGTAGACACAAATCGAAGTTCTATTAGTTATTGATACTCACCGGAGACGAAGCAGAGAAGTTGGGGATTCTCCAAAACTTCTTCAAGTGACGAATCGGGGATCTGGTCACCGTCGACGAGAGAAGAATCAGAGTCCGCTTGAGAAATTGAGGGGATTGAGGAAGAAGAAGAGCGAGAGCAGCCAGAAAAGGGGTCTCAAGAGAGCGAGAGAAACCCTAGATTTTGGGAGAAGGGGGCATTTTTTTTTTTTGGTTTGAAAGAGGTGGAGGCGGATTTGAAGGTGGGCTGAGATATTAATTTGGGGATGAAAATTTGGCGCTGCCGGTCCTGGGTGAAAATTTTGGGCGCCACTCCTGAAAAGTTTGGGGAGAACAAGCGGGTCAGAAAATATTAATTACAAAATTATTTTTTAAAAACCTTAATATTGCTCCCAAACGGTTGAACCCGTTTGGGTTAAAATATCCCAAACTGTTTAAACCGTTTGGGAGCTCTGTTTGGGATTTTTTAAATGCCCAAACGGTTTTAACCGTTTGGGATATATTAGCCCAAACGGTGTTGACCGTTTGGGCTATTTTGACTTGTCCAAACGGTTCTTAGAACCGTTTGGACAGACCCGTTTTGTACTAGTGAAATTCTCCCTGTCATAAGTTTGGTTCATTTTTCTCATAGAGACCTAACTTCTTGTTTGGTATGTGGAGTGGAGTCAAGTAAGAACCGAAATAGATGAATGAATAGAATGAAATATATGTAAGAACGGAATTATCATTCCTATCTTATGTTTTGACGTGACTAGAGAATAAAGTGGGAATGACAATCTCATTCTTACTATCGTGTTTGATATCGCTTATTCACAAGTGAGAATGAAATTTTGTTTTTTTAATAATACCTTTTCAACAAGATAGAATTTTAAACCTATAAAAAATATTAATTATAAATGGCTAAATAGTTGTTTTTAAAATAATATGTATAATAATATTTTTTTTCTTTTTATTTATAAGGAATACCGAAATATGTTATTGTTATAACTATATGCTAGTGAAGAGAATGGTGCCTTATAATTTTAGCATTGTATGTAGTTTGAATATGTGAAATTCTATTGACAAGATGTCCTATATAGATTTCTTTGTTTCATGATTTGTTGATACTAAACAAAATTGACTAGCATTTGTAGTTAGAGAATGGTGCCTTATAATTTTAGCATTGTATGTAGTTTGAATCTGTGAAATTCTATTGACAAGATGTCCAATATAGATTTCTTTGTTTCATGATATGTTGATACTAAATAAAATTGACTAGCATTTGTAACTGCAAAGCAAAACAAAAAATAGCACGGACATTAAATATTATAAAAAAGATTGACTATGATTGAAGCCACATATATTAAGGATGATAGGAAAATGATAGGGGCATACCCCCAACCACATCCCAAACCACACCCCCTCTCTCATATGCTACAGTGCACCGGGCCCCACATGAGATTTTAAAATTTTAAAATCTCATGTGAGGCCCGGTGTACTGTAGCATATGAGAGAGGGGGTGTGATTTGGGATGTGATTGAGGGTGTGCCCCTAGTGGTACTCATATATTAAAGGAAAAAATGTTATGAGGCCTCAATTTGAGAAATGGAATGTGAATAAGCCCCAACTCACATTTCATATATGTAGTAGCCCTTTAAAAAAGTTTTTGATGTAGTAAAGCCACAAAATACGTTGCCAACTCTGCCCAGATTCAGATTTTTTTTTAAATAATTCCTAAAATGCCCTTAGCAAAGAAAATTGTGCCTGCAGTTTTATCAAGCCTCTTTCTTCCACTGTCCTATCTTCAACAAAAATGTTATCGAGCCCCTCCTCTCGGTAACTTCCCTCCCATTTTCTCTTCTGAGCATCTCCAAGAGCCTCCCTATCTCATGTCATTGAGTAAATTTAGGGAGTATGAGGGGAAAATTTGGCTCCAACAAGCTCCCTATAATGAAGACTAAATATAGGGCTTATAATTTGGTATTCCAAATCAAAGACAAGAAATGACTCCCTATATTTAGTCTCAACATAATGAGCATTGTTGGAGCAATTTTTCCCTCCTCCTACTCCCTATATTTAGTCTCAACATAATGAGCATTGTTGGAGCAATTTTTCCCTCCTCCTACTCCCTATATTTAGTCTAGGACATGAGATATGGAGCCATTTGGGGAGCTGAGTAAATTTAGGGAGTATGAGGGGAAAATTTGGCTCCAACAAGCTCCCTATAATGAAGACTAAATATAGGGCTTATAATTTGGTATTCCAAATCAAAGACAAGAAATGACTCCCTATATTTAGTCTCAACATAATGAGCATTGTTGGAGCAATTTTTCCCTCCTCCTACTCCCTATATTTAGTCTCAACATAATGAGCATTGTTGGAGCAATTTTTCCCTCCTCCTACTCCCTATATTTAGTCTAGGACATGAGATATGGAGCCATTTGGGGAGCATTGTTGGAGCACTTGCTCATTATTTAGCTCTCTATTTCCTAGGATGAGAGATTTGCTCCTCAAATATAGGGAAAACCTAAGATCATTGTTGGAGATGCTCTAACCTCAACAACCAAACCTAACCCAAAATTCCTCTTTCTTCCACTGTCCTATCTTCAACAAAAATTCTCCAAAATCCACAAAGATTGTTCCCATTTTTTCCAGCCGATAATGGCTGAAGAAGACATGGCACCGAAGGTAATTTCTCTACTAAAGATGTTGCCAAAGACATATGATATACACATTTTTACAACCCTCATTATCTATTTTACATGAATAAATATACTAGTAATAATTATTTTTATCTTAACTTACAGGTTAATGAAGAAATAATGGATAAAAGCCCAAAATACTCTAACTTCCTCATTTTGTAACATTTTATTGAAGCCCAGAATCAAGCCAAGAAGCATGTAGAAGCCGGAGAAAATAAGAATTCAATATGAAAAGAAATCATATTCAAGATGGTTGGCCGTAAATAAATAACGATATTTTCCACTCCGAAAGACGGAATTTAACATATAATATATAAAAATCGCCTATCTCGATGAGACGAATCCATTTGTCAAGTTAGATTTTCGATACCAGTATCGATACCAAATATGTAGTTACGATTTAAAGGCTAAAATTGATTAACTTGATAATCAAGTTTAATCTAAGGGCTCTCATTCATTGCTGGAGGCTATAAACATGGGTAGAGAGCGAGGGGTTAGGGTGTGCAATATTTTGTAAAAGCTCCTTTTTGGAGAGGAGTGTTACTCTTAATTGAGAAGACCTTCCAAATTATAACTTTTTGTTGCAATTAATAAAGAAATATTTTTACCTCTTCATATTTTTTTTTCTTTTCTTTGTTTGATTATGAAGATGAAGATGAGAAGAAGATGAAGATCAAGATGAAGGTTTGCTATCACATTGATGCTAGAACCCTCTTGGGATGTAAATTTTCTCTTTTTAGTAAATTTATCTTTTGCTTTCTTTTCTTGTTTAAATAGCCAAGAGGCTAGAACCCTCTTGTCTTAAATTTATTTTCATGTGTAATAGAGTAGATTTTACTTTCATCTTAACTTTTTTGCTTTAAATTCTTGCATTTATTTCTTGCAACTTATTTTGTAGTTTAGATTTTATTTCTTGTACTATTTGCCTTAAGGCTAGAACCCTCTCGTGATTAGTTTTTATTTTTGTTTATTTTTTCTTTGATTTGTCTTGAGGCTAGAACCCTCAAGGGAATTGCGCTTTTTTAAAGATGTGGAACTAATACTTGTGGTAATTCTAGAAATTAAATGAAACTATCCAGTGGATTCAATTCTAAATTCCTCATATCTCTAATTGAGTCCTCCATCTTTTATATTCTTTACTTTCCTCTTTATTCTTGATTTTTCTCTCATGTGCTTCTTGATTTTATTTCCTTCATCATTCTTTCTTCTTTTTTGTTAGTTTTGTTTATATTTACACTTTAGCACATCTACTCTTTATCTCTCCACTCTTAATATTGTTTTATTTTTATTTACATACAGTCACTCTCACTCTCTCTATCTCTCTAATCACATTCATCACTCCTAATTGTCACATATACAACATAAGAACTGATTTTGATTTTTTCCTATAAACACCTTCCTTGTGGGATCATGTGACGCCCCTATTTTCACACATGACTGCTGTGACGCCCCTGTTTTCACACATGACTGCAGTCCAAGGTGAACCAAGAAATATCAAACCTGCCATACACCCACACTGTGCAATAACACATTTCACCAATCACAGTACTATCCTTTAGTGGAATAAAAAATAAAGTACATGTATAATACAGTCAAAAGAAAGAAATAAATACAATAGACATGATGTCGAACGATAAATCTCATAAGTGAACTAATGTCTCAACTGAAAAATTTGAAATACATCTGATGATTAAAAAGTGTCTCAACATGAATCAAATAAAAATCACACTAAGGCTCACAACCTTTAAAATAAGAAAATAAACTCTATGGTTTGAACATGAAAGTCAACTACAGTGGAATCTCAACTACTATATCTGAGCGACGGTGACTATGCTGGAAGTCCGTTAACCTGTGACTCTCCGAAGCTTTGAACCTGTGATGCCCTCGGGTTCACACAAGACTGCAGTCCAAGGTAAAACTAAGGATGTCAAACCTGTCATGCACCTATACTGTGCAATGACATGTTTCACCATTACAGAAATATCCCTCTAATGGAATCAAATAAGACAGTACGGGTATAAGCAGATATAAAAGAGATGAAGACAAGAAATAGAACACAGAAATATTTGATAAATCTCCAAATAATCAGGTCTCAACAGATATAAAAGAAAATATGTTGTAAGGGCCAGGAATTTAGATACTAGTTAAAATAATTTTATGATATTTTAAAATATTAAATTATTATTTTAAAAAGAGTATTTGTATCTTCTCGATTTTCTAAAATTTTCTACGATTTAAAAACCTGATTTTATATTTATTTATTGATTTTGATAATTATAAATTAAACAGTTACGATGAAAACTTTTAAATAAATAATTGTTTTATTATTATTATTATCATTATTAATTTTTACAAGAATTTTCCCTAATTATTTCTATTTTCCCCCTAATTTATTTATTTTATTTTTAATTAATACCTATTAATCCCTAACCCTAATCCATACCCTATAAATACCCTCTCTCTCTCTCTCTCTCTCTCTCTCTCTCTCTCTCTCTCTCTCTCTCTCTCTCTCTCTCTCTCTCTCTCTCTCTCTCTCTCTCTCTCTCTCTCATGTTAAACCTAGCCGCCTACTTCCATTTCTCTCTTCTCCCCTCGTGTTCTCAGAACCGCCCGC